CCACTATCATTAATATTACCAATATAATTAAATAATATCAATCAATCATTCATACACACCACATCAACCTTAATTCACTATTCATCCACTCACAATATTTTAACTAACCATCACATTAAATTTTTAATTATTGCATTTTAAATATTATTTTAATATACCCACTAACAATTAACCATACTACCTCTTCAAAATTAACCAAACCAAACAAAAAAATCAACAAAAGCAAAAAATTTCATATCCAAACATGCTCTAAAATTATCCCCAATCTCACTTTCAAAAGTTAATGGATAATTTGTGTTGCATTATTTTAAGGGAAATTTTAATGTATACTTACCGTTTTTTAAGTAATTGCAATATTATCTTTAATAATACTTTAATTGGAATTATATCTAATAGATAAAGATTATTTGCATTTATGCCTACAATCAGTTACTTCGCTTTCTCTATCTTATCCCATGTTTTTTGCGCAAGATTTTCGGACTGACCATAGAAAGCATCAAATTTGAACCTGAACGAAAAAAAAAAAATTGGGTATATTTGAGGTATATTTTAGATATTTGAGGTATATTTTAGGTATATATTAGATATATTTTTATGTATATGTGGGTTCTGCCCGAGAGAAACGATCTTCTTGTGAAAATATCTAAAGTGTATATCTTAGGTATATTTATGTATATGTGGGTTTTGAAATCGATTTTGAGAAATGATTGAAACTCGAGTGTATATTTAAAGTATATTTTATGTATATTTTGTATCGTGGGCTTGAATTACGTGAATCTCGATTGTGTATTTTATGCATATTGTACGTAAATTTTATGTATATGTGTGTTGTGCAACTTTGGTATATATCCGCAACATATACCCGCAACGTGTAAATTTTCATACCCGAAATATACAAATTTTCATATCGATACTGATGGGTCTCCTCCTAGATCTGGAGTGAACCGGTGGAAATGAGCTCCGGTCTGTTCGAATCGTCTCCAAATCGCCCGTGGACCGCAGCGAACACCTGCAAAAACTCAACACCGGAAATGTTTTCCGGTGAAGAGCCTCCGACGCTCAAGTCAGTAAGTGAAGAGAGAGAGAGAGAGCTCTGCTCAGGGGGAGCAGCAACTGAGTATTGAATGAGAATAACAGTTAGGGTT